CCCAACCAAACCACCCACATACAAGGAATAAACTAGATGGAAGTGGCTAACAATAATTTAAAGTTCATCTCGTTTTACAAACCAGATGGCGTCATTTTTTTTATGCCTGGGGATAGGTGTGGGGGGGAAACAATTTCATTGAATCACAAACGTCAATAAATTGTATATAACTATGACGCAAAATTACATTACAGGACGAAATTAGAATTAATTAAGACCAGGGTTTTTTGGAAATTAAAAAAAATTCATGAGTGGACTGATTTTGACACAATGCATAGAATAATCACTGAACTAACTGATCCCCTGGTGATATAAATACCCAGGCATCTTAGGCTCAGTACACTTTCACTTTTTTGGCATTTACCTCTAACAAGGCAAGGGACCACTTCAACCATCAAGCACCATGAAAACTTTCGGTGAGTTCTCATAACCCTACTTGCCATTTTCCTAAACAAGTGTTATGTCTGTTAAGCATTTTAAGAAACAAATCATTTTTGGTAATTTCATTATTAAACTCAGTCAAACACTTTGCTCAATCTATTAATGGCTAAAAACGCTTTCAAATAACTATCTAAAATATTGGCCAATCCAAAATTGAACATATCAGCTAACAAAACACAGGCTAGTACTAGTATTTATCAAACCAAGCTCTAGATATGACTTCGAACCTGAGCCTTCGAGAAATATCCGTTTCATTCATTAAGAAAACTTTTCATAAAATCTCTGTTCATCGATGGCTAACTGTGAATCTTGTAAAAAAAATTTTTAAAAAGACGTCCAAGCAAAACCGAAGATGTTTACGCCCCCATCAGCGCCATTGAAACTACTTGTAGTTAGAATACGAACAGCTTTAACTTTGCCTACCAGGCCCAACCAAGGCTGAAAGGGATAGACCACCCCAGAAAAAAGGCAGATACTCGATAAAAATTCTCCCCATTCGGGAATTCTCCGGAAAAGCATCAGAGCCGCGCACTTTCGAATAAAAAGTGTCAAAGCCGCGCCCTATAATCAAAGATAGCTATAACAAAGAGTCTACATCTTTGGCTATAATAAGCTATTTGAGCACTTTTTCAATACAATTAATTTGATTGCCGTTACCATCTAAAGGTTATATCAAAGATAGTGATAGTACATAACAAGATAGTTCACTCCTCTCTTTGGGCAAATTAAAAAACCGTCCTCAAAACCCGGTGGTGCCCTCTTCGAAAAGGTGCACCCTTTGCGAACAGAGTTACCCTACTTGTATGGGGAAAAAATCAAAGTGAAACTAACAAGTTTTTGAATAAATTAGAATTCGAATTTCGGAAAAACGCTTTGTATAATTATAGGATCTTTTGGTTGGTGGGGGAGGACCTCGTGCTTTTATTTTCATTCTTTTTACTTGTCGTTCTTTATTTCTAGTACTAAATTTGTTTGTTAGATGAACATCAATTTCGTTCATCCTGTATTGCAACTGAACACTCAAGTAATAACTTTCACCACTCCCCTACAAAGCCATTCAAAGGCACAACTCGTAGAACGGTCACGTTTACCTCCATCAGGTTAACGGTCACTGAGTCACTTAAAATAGTGGCAAGACAAAGAACCAATCATATTATGCACTTGAGCACTCCGCTGGATTGCTCCTGGGCTCACATGATATTGGCAAAGAATAGAATAGTGTACGGTCTATCGCGTTTATTTTTAGACTGCTTACTGTGGGCTATGTTTCGGCACTGTTCGGCAGGAGCACATTTGAGATGTGCCGGCTTATTAATATTAATGTACCACCAAACTCGCTACGAGTGTCGTCATCGCTTGGGTTATCCCCAAGAGCGATTTATAGGTCAGGTTACACTGTTGAATATCCTATTATGTTTAGCTAAAGCGCGTGGACTTTGGCATGGCATAAAAGATGTTTTACGGCTCTATAGACACAGAAATGACAGTTATGGCGCCAATGAGGACCTTGTTTTGATATAATATTTAGTTAGTGTTTGTTCCTGGCTTCTTTTATTTTATTAGTGGGGGGTTTTTGCGTAATAGAACATAAAAAATTTGGGCGGCACTGCACGACCGTGCTCTATGGACGAACCGCGCCTGGATTTGATATATAATATGCTGCTCCCAAGTCTAAGCCTAGTAAAATGTAAAAGGGACTTAAATCGTGGGATGGGACTGGCATTGGTAATCGGCATTCAAATTGTTCGATAGGGTTAAAAAGTACGCGGCTCTGATAGCTTCCCAACCCAACTACAGTGTACTGTCACAGCTTCCGTGTGCGGCGGAGAAGCGACTCGGTCGCCTGAAACTGAAAACAAACACGTCTGCAAATCGGGTCGGGTCAGAGGCGATCGCCCCACTCGTCGCCTGAAAACTTAAGCGTTTGTTTTCAGGCAACCGAGTCGGGCGATCGGCCGACGCCATCCTCAATGGGCACCACGTATAAGAAACACAAGAAATAGGAACCGGAAAGCATTAATTAGTTTGCGTGTTTAAGAATCATGTGTCATTCATGCACCCTTTTAGTGTCGCAATGGGTTGCATATTGCTTTAACCACCCCCCACCCCCCTCTCCCCTAAACTGTATTTTGTACTGCAACGTGTAATGAAAACATGAGTTAGTTTTATTCGTCAAGTAGCCTACTTTTCTTTTCAACGTATCTTCTTTCTGTATGCTTGCCTATCAAATAATACGTCCGACCCCCCCCCCCTCCAAACCGCGAAAAGAAAATATCTAACAATCCATTTTGGCCTATTGAGTACCTGATGAACTTTTTTATTTCATGTTCTCTGTCTTTGCAAAGAGAGAAACGAAAAAGTGTAATTGATTTTAAAAAGCATAAGTTGCTATTGTCATCAGCTAAATAACTGGGATTTTCAAAAATAGGAAATAAATTAATTTGTCAAAATAAGCACAAGATGGGTATCTTGATCTCTGTCTGTCTGTCTGTCTGTCTGTCTGTCTGTCTGTCTGTCTGTCTGTCTGTCT